AGTTCGAGATGGAGGCCAGGGGGTTTAAGGGCTGAACTGGCAGAAACATCAGGATCGAAGCGACTGCACTGCATGTCGTGGCATGTCGTGGCATGTGGCATGTGGCATTGATGCCCTTCTGTTATTCTAGGGAAGATTTCTGGAAGCTGGGAACAATCTCTCACTTTTGCAGTACTTTGCAGGCACATGAAGTTCATGACAACGACCAGGCGGTGCGTGGCAGCCAGTACCTAGGCCCGCTTGGGGCCAAAGCGAATCTTTCGATGTTATATGGGGTCTTCGGTTTGGGCAGGCTGACCGCGTCCGGTGAGCCTTTGCAGCTTGTCTCAGGGCTCCTGTCAAGATCGAGCTAGGGCCTTGCCCAGAACCTCAGCTACTCGCCCGTTGCGCCGAAATCCACAGCAACAGCGGACAACACCGCACAGGCGACAAGTGGGACCTGTTCAAGCAAATGATGCCAGTGTACTTGGTCGAGCACATCAACGGCAATGCCATCTACAACCTGAAGAACAGCTGGACCAAGCCCCTTGCTGATAGAAAAGTGAAATGTTGTGTTCCTGCTGGTTGCCTGCTGGTTGGTGGACGAGGCACCTCAGGCACAGGCTCTGAAACCTGCTTTGCGGCTGAGGTACCTATACCAGGCCTTCACGATGGCCGGGGATGCGAGCATGATGGAAGAGATGGCCTTCGACGTGGCTTTCGCTCCCTGGCATCGGGAACAGACCTCTTGTTCCGTGCCCGCTAGAATCCCTAAGCCCCAAACTTAAAGAAAACCGTAGAGCCACTACAAGCGTGGGGAGACCTAATGTAGGGGCCAAAAAAAAAATACCTCTACTATTTTGAGGGTTCCTAATCATAATTATAGTATAATTGGCCCCAAAACCCTATTCGAATCATCAAGGCCCCTAAACCCTAAACCCTTATAGTAGCCCTTATAGTAACCCTTTTAAGGAACCCCCTTTAAAGGAATCCTATTCTAATTATTACGGCCCCTTATATAAACCCTAAACCCTAAACCCTATTCTGATTGTTAAGGCCCTCTTAAGAGCATGCCCTACAAAGATTTTCGGTTCACGCTTCGACAACCGAGGCCATGATGACCATGGCCGCTGAGTCCGGGGATCCGATGCAGCTTTGGTCCTTTCTGCGTGGCGGTGTTCGGGGTTTTGGGTTGAGGGTTCAGGGTTTAGGGTTTAAGGTTTGGGGTTTAGGGTTGAGGGTTGAGGATTTAGGGTTGAGGGAGGATTTAGGGTTGTGGCTTTAGGGTTGATCGAGTCTAGAGTCCTTTAGGAGTCTTCTTGTTCAGTGGCAGTTGCGGGTCGTTAGTTCGGGTCGTCTTCATACGTCTCGAAAGTGTTGCACCAAGCCGGCCCAAAGCCTTGAGGGTTTTGGGTCTTCGGATTTAGGTTGGGCTCTCAGAGTTCAGGATTCATGCTGGAATGCTAGGCCCAGGCCCGGACAACTGCACCTGGGAACCCTGAACCTGAAACCCTAAGCCCTAAACCCGCGATAGTCAGAACAGGAGCAACCGGGCTCTCTCTGAACGAGGACGCCAACTGCAGAACAGACCCTAAACCCCTAAACCCTTAAGCCCCTAAGCTCCCAAAACCCCTAAACCACCAAACCACTAGACCCCTAAACCCTCGAGCTCCTCACCCCTCGGACCAGACTATGGTCTGCCCCGCGACAAGGCAAGGTTCTTGACCTCATCATCGATAAGGTTTCGCGGGTCCATACTTGGGATCTTATAAAAGTTGTATAAGGGATCACGGATCTACAAGGGATCTAGAAGGGGACTTCAAAAGGATGTTTGAGGGATCTTACGAGGGATCGCTATGACGGGGTCAAGCCAGAAGGAACCAACACCACCATGTGGTGCGCAGCTGACCGAGTGAGCACCCAGAAGACGACAGCAAAGAGAGTACCGGGATTCGGGGGTTCGCGTTTTTAGGTCGGTTCCAAGGTATGCCGCCAACTGGACGGGCAACAACATGACCTACAACACGCACACGATGTTGGTGGGAAACTACGTCCGCGACTCAGGTCTAGGACTCTACGGCGCGCTGGTTTCGGGTGCTTTGGGAAGCATTCCCAGGCTCAAGGGTGCTGAAGGCGCCCTTTGGTATAAGGCCAACACCCTCCTGAACACGAGCTTCGAGTTCGGCAGCTACATCCGTCACGGCTCCAGCAAGAATCTCTTCGAGAACTTGGATGCCGCGGCCCAAGCCACACCCTGCTGCGCGGGCAGAATGCAAATCACCCTAAACCCCAAACCCTAAACCGGCTTCAGGACGACAAGGTCACCTTGGGAGTGGCATACTTCGATCATCAGGGCCACTTCATGGAGACCGCCGGGGCCCTAGAGGGCTTGCAGCAAGGGTGGAGGGGTTCGGGCTTTCAGGAGCCTGCCTGTTTAGGCTCCACTTTGTGCCTCTGTGTTAGTGTGGCTGTTCAGTGTTTGGGGTTTGCTGCTCTGACTCTCCATCTCTTTGCTCTCCCTGTTCCCCTCCCGCGCCATCTGCCTCTGTCTCTCACTCTCTCTTCCCTCAGCCGCTATATTTTGTTTTCGTGTGTTGATCTTGCTGAAACTTGGTCAAATGCCAGCGGGGCTGGGAGCTTCTTTTCGTTCGCACATCTCAACAGCCAGGTGCCCACTCACCACCCCTTCAAGAAGATCCTGGGCATCACCTACTTCGACCAGCCGAACAGCACAATGAAGATCGAAGCTCCTGGAGGCCAGCTACTGAACCCTGAAGCTCTCAAAGACCCATCATACTGCAACCACTTGCGTTTTGCATGC